CAAAGAGAAGGAAAGTATGCTTGTGCCAGTGGTATCAGGAGCGAGGGACTAGAAGAAGAGAGGAAAGAGAAACAGAGAAGCCTGCTGGGGGAACATAACTCCGCTCTGTCCCAGTGCTGAGAGAGGAAAGAAAAAGAAGACACAATGCAATATTCTCTTTGGAATTAATACACTGTCTCTTCTGCAAGAGCATCTAATTTAGTGTTACTTGCCTTCCTCGCAGTCTCAAGCTGCCCCTCGCTCTGTGTCTCTGCCACTTTCTTCATCCATCTCCTTTACTATCTCGCCGTTTCCATACTGCTCCATGCCATAACCATCCTCCCACCCACCCCTCACCCCGCAACATCCACCACCTCTTTCACTTCCCTGCCTCTCATTCTCTTCTTCTCTGCCTTAGGCCTTTGTTAGACTGTCTTTGTGGCGAGTGCAGAAAAAGAGAGAGGGGGGCCTTGAACACAAGTCAAGCAGTTTGAATGGGAAAAGGATGGCAGAAGAAACTGGAGAAATGGGAGATGAGAGAGGGACCGAGTGGATATGAAAAACCGCTCGCCTCCTGTGAGAGACTGAGGGAATGAAAAGGAAAGGGAGCGTGCTAATGGAAAGACAGGCAGGCAAGGACGAAAAAAGTGGTTATCTACAGTTTTAAGAAAGTTAACCTCATTAAAATTGTGCTAAGAGAAATGCTGAGGGCATACCAGATAATAAATTCTCATGCTAATAGTACATGCTTGGTCAAAATTCATAGATTTTTTTACCTATTAAGTTCCAATTCAAAATGATTTCTGCATCCTAAAGGTGCTACAGCTCCCTCTCCAACTGAATAAAAGCAAAAACTCTGTATGCCACAAATGAAACATTGCTGGAAGAGAAATAGTGAACACCCGTCTTCAGCTCTTAGTTTTTTTTCTAGAAATGAAAACATGGAACTCGTTTTAGTGGCTAAAACAAAAACAGCAGTAAATGAGTCAAAAATGAGAAGGTCACTTTGTTTTCCAGCCCGTTGCTCACCCTAAATGGGTCCCCACGGTCTAAATGAGGATGGATGCGAGCCGAAGACGATTCACTGATCTGTGCTCCGTGTTTCGACAAGCCGAGGGAAAGACAAGGGCAAAGGAGGCAAACGGAGTTGAGTTTAAAGAAGGACTGACCATGTCTAGGTTTAGATATGCGAGTGTGAAGGATTTACAGAATACACTTGTGGCTGCTGTGATCTGTTTCTAAGCTGTGAGAGGACACTGGGAGGAGGTCAAGAGGTCGGTACTTAGCGTGGAGATTTAGCAGCGAGCCCTGATGCCAGTGGACAATCTTCTTTGATCTTCTCTTTGTTACTCAATTCTTTTACTTTTTCCTACAGGGCATACACAAAACTAATGATGCGTTTAATGATCGCAGATGCATGCTTTTTAGTCAGATGTTAAAGTTTTATATTTTTTAGATGACATATTTTGTTTTTCTGACCACAAGTAAAGGCTTTACCTCACACATTTTACCAATACCTTTATTTTTAATGATATTATCAGTGCAAAAGCATGAAATCTATAGTCAAAGATTGAGGGGACGGGATGTGATCTTGGAGGGCTGGATGGACAGGTACTATTTTAAAGGGACCAGTGCAATTCTTTGTTGTAGCAATATAAAATAGAAGTGGATCCTGTGTTTTTCATATGTAGGAATGTCCATTATTGGAGTTGTGCTTCTCTAGACCATTACCTAAACCTAATTTATGGTCCTGCAAATATGTCTGTCTGCATACACATTTACGTGTGCACAGTGAGGTGCAGTCCTCCAAAATCCCAAATGCACATTGCTGGACACAGATGACCTATGCCTATTGATTGACCTTAGGCCCACTTGTTAACCAATATATTGGTTAACAAGTGGGCCTGAATAGGAAAGGGCGTAGCAGTGGAGTTTGCCAGGAGTGGGAGAACTTTAAAAAAAATCTTTTAGATCAAAGATCAAATATCACAGCATAACTTTGCTCTTCTCTGCAGCTGGCAGACAGACCACCAACAGCACAGGCAAGAGTATCCAACAGTCTGGTTGTACCACATATTTTGTACACTGCTTTCATCGACAACAAACACTGCAGGTACACTGTCAGCCTGCTACTGCCCCCAGACTGCCTTCATGTTACCTCCCCTTAAGCATAAAATAAGCATTACAACCACATGTTTTACCAGATGTCTGCAATCACAAAATGTTCTTGTCTAGAACAATAAAGACATTGACTTTGGTCATAAAACAACTAAATTTAATTTGTTTGCCTGCTTGGTTGCAGTCAGAGTTGCTGCTGTGTTGTGTTGTTCTGGAGCCATCTCAGCAGGGTGAAGCAGTTTGCAGGATGTAGGTTGAACTATGGGTCGTTCAGTCTTTACTGTCAACATTGATGGTTGCACAGCAGTATTCTGTAGTGTTGCTCTTGTAAGGCAAACGGAGCTCAAAGGGGTTGGCACCTGACTGTGGCCCTTGCTCCAGTGTAAGTGAGGTTGAATGGTACCTGGTGATTTTAGTTAATGTTGACTTTCCTGCTTGTTCAGAGTGAACAAGGCAAAAGTGAACAAAGTGAAGAAAATACAGAAGAAAGTTTGTGAGCTGTTATGGACAAGTCTTGCAGGATTATGTGAAAAAAGTCCACACAAAATAATTTAACACAGGGACATGAAAAATAAAGAACAAAGATAACAACCAACGAGGAGAAAAAAGGAACTAGGACTCCAGTATCATACTGAAGTCTGTAACACAGCATGGGGTCTCCTTGTTGCTGGACTTACTGATATATCCTTCTAAAGACAGAGTTAGGTGCTGTTACATGGGCAGGTTTGATATTATCATAGCACAAACTGCACTCTTCCCTTTCAATATAATCAGAACTAAAGAAAAAGGCAAATAGAACAATGAGCAGGACAATTTAACAAATTCACATCTGTTAACCAATGTGCCCTTAACACAATGACTAGGCAGCATCAACAGTTGTTCTAATTTAATTTTATGATCACAATTACAGCTAAGGAACATCAGCAGCTAGTGGATAATTTTTTTTAGGGATGTGTCGCATCCCTTCTTTGCCTTCTTTGCCCTTGTCAGTGGATTCATGAAAACCGATGCTTTTTTAAATATAATCGTACGCAGATGTTCCAACATGATCATACTTTGAAGGAGAGAGATGTGCTATTCCACCAAGTATCACGTGCAATGGAGACAAGTCTGGAAATCTGACACAGTGGGAGGTGCTCTTTGGAATAGAGGGCAGCTTCTCATTATCATGATAGCAGACTTTACTGTGGCCACTGTGGATGATTTATTAGTCTTGACCAAGTGCATACAGTTATAGGTCTCTATCTACATTAAACCATAAGACACCTGATATCTTTCATGATTCATAATGAGGAGCTTGAAAGCATCTCAAGGTCAGACTGTTGGGTAAAGACATCGACTTAAAGTCAGAGTCCTGCTACTTTTCTTTCTTTTGTTCTGGAAACTTCTCTCTCAGATGTGCAGAAAGGACAATGGTCACAAATATGGAATGAAACAGTGCATTTATTAATGGATCAGTTATTCATGTAAGGAGAACATGTCATTGTAATGTCTGCAGCCAGTATGCTCTTGCTATTGCAGAAAATGTCTTTAAATACCATTATTATTTTTTAGAAAACAGATCAAAAATGTTATTGAGGAGTAAGATAGCTATGTTAAACAAATACATGGGGGGAGTTGGTCGGGGCCCATAATCACAGTTCTCACCATGAGTTAATCAGTGTCAGTTTATAATTGGCAAAGTGCAATTGTCACATTAATTTAACTCAACCCAGATTCATGAAAATCCAATCAGAGGTGGGCGAAATACCACACGTGGCACAAAGGAACAATCAGTGTGGTGCCACCCTCTTGAGAAATAATCTAATTTTGAGAATGTCACACCCCAGTGAGACACCTGTATACGTTCAGTATGCATAAACAGTCTGCACGCGCTGTGAAAAAGCATGGATGCGTTATTGTAGGTTACTTATTAAAGTTTATGTTTCTGTAAAATCTTCAGTTGAAGGATGGAAATGGCTTGTAAACTGGAAACTCGCTGTAAGCAGTGAAGTTGTGGTTTGTGTAAATTAATATGCGTTAATTAGATGTTCGTTAAACTCTGTTTCAGAGATGCTGCTCAGTCAGTGCCATCTTTCTCTCTCTCCTAGAAACAACAGGAGAATCTACAAAATGAAAATTGTTCATAGAACATTACAGCCAGTATCCTAATGCGATAAAGAATTTTCCAATTTAACCTTTTTGTTGAGGATACTAAAACTCATCAAGGCTTTCCAGAAAAAGATTTTTGAAACTAATAAATTGCTGAGCATCCAACTTACGGAGGCTTAAAAAACAGAAATCTGAGAGTGAAATAAGGAGTTTGGGAGAGGCTGATTATGTGCTATTTAAATTTCTAGCAAGTTCTGACTTTTGGAATAATTTTTTTAAAGATCTCTCTCTATTATTTATTTATTTTTATCGGGCGGTGGGAGTGGGAGGAGGAAGAGTTTGCTCCACCAATAAAGCCTACCATGAAGCATCCTCCGAGTGACCAAAGGACCAAAGTGACTGTGGTCCAAGCTGCATAACGTTTTGACTGTGTGACTGCACCTTTAAAACAATAATAAAATAGTAAGGAAATTAAAAACAACAACAACTTATTTATCCTTTAAAAATAGCTTTATAACTTAATTTTTAATATTTCTAAAAATAACTTTATAAATACAACTAACTGCGTAAACAGGCATTGGCTTAAACTCTACATGGCATGATATCAAAAAGAGAGAGAGAATTAAAAATAAGAAAATAAACGTCGGCGAATAACATGGTACTATTTGTTTTTTATTATAATTATTATTTATTATTTATTTATTTGGATACACGAGACATCAGATGAAGCGCAGTTCAAATTAAAAGTCATCGCTTCTAGTTTTATTTTGTATGTGTGTAGCGGAAGTGAAAATTCTTCTGACTCTGGGAGGTTTGACAGTAGTCGTCCGGCAGCACCGAGTGAGCGCACACGTCGCTCTCTCCACTACATCGCACCACTGCGGTAGGAGCGCGGAGGCAGCAGCAGAGGAGTGCCCGGCAGGCACAGTCCACTTGTTCCTGCAGGACAAAATCCAGGTGGCGAGTCTCTCACTCTGTCTCTCTGTGTCTCCCTCTCTGCCGACTTTATCACAGCGCAAGACTTTACCTGAGAGGACATAGTCATATAGCAACAGCTCTCAGGGTAACCCTCACAGTCCAGCCGGAGCAAAGGAAGGAGAAGTTTGGGCTATTGCCACGCGATTTTACCCACAGCTCCGTAACCTTGGAAGTCGGACCTGATTATTGTGAGAGGATGGGACCGCTACTCCTTTCCGTCGCCCTGTGCTTGAGCGCCGCTGTCCCACAGCGTGTGAAAGGTGAGCGGAACAAGTGACTGGCAAAAATAATCATTGTTACATTTTCTTTTGTCCCCCCCCACAAATAGTTATTTAGCGTGGGAGCATCACCGAACAGGGGATCGATCAGAATCCTATGGCATATTTACATATTCTACTGAAAGTGACAAAGTGCTGGTGATTATTCAAAGAGGATCGTGGGGAGTGGGGGTATCCCACATGAACGGTTCAACACTGTATTGTTCGCGGGAAACGGAGCAATCTCGGCACGTTTTTTTTTTTTTTGTTGTTTTTTTATCCGTGCACGACTCGTTAGTTAATTGGTTTGATTGTGTTTAAAGGAGACCTGTTTGAGTGTACAAGCGGCCGATTGTGTATTTTATCTGTGTGTAATTGCTCTTTAATAAGGGCCACATGAGACTGCGCACAATTAAGGCAAATGTGCACAGCTCCAGTGTTTCGTGCGCCCTCACAGTGACCATCTTCAGCTGCTTGCTTGGCTTATGTGCGAAGCTTACATGGGGTAAAAGAAGCTGAGGGTCCAGGTTTAGCCCTCGTTAATTAATGCAGGGGGACAAAGGCATCTTTCTCCTCTTATTTTCCCTTTTTTTTAATAACCAATATAAAAAGAAGAGAAAAAAAAACGGAATAGAAAGATTTCTTGCGTGGTGACTAGACAAATCTAGAGGTGATATATATCCTGTAATAGTTGCCTTATCATTATTAACCAGCGCAATATTACAAGTAGGGTAAATGGACATTGAAGTCTAATGTAGAGTCTTACCAAAACATGTTACACTGCTTTATGCAGAGAGAAAACTGCTGAAAGCTTATAGATTAACCTGACTCCCTGAATCACCGTTCCCATCATTTACATCCTCCCCCCTTTTGCCCTTCCTGTTCTCTGGTGATGGGGATGTTTAAGCTTTTGGCCGCTATATATTTTCCACCATCAGTGCAGAGCCGTACCTGTGGGATACACACACACACACATATATATATATATATATATATATTGATAAAGAAAACAGGGTAGTCCTGATAGAAGTGGGTCATGCCATTGTCCCTGTCTCTGTTCATTTAGCAACACGCTTGCCTCAGGAGTCACACATGTCAGACAGACCTCTGTCTCTACACCGGGAGTGTGCCCCAAGCAGAGTTTCTAAGGCTCCCTAAGCCTCACAGTGTCAACTCACAGTCAGCTGTTACAAGACATAATACTCCCTGGTAGGCTGGCATAATGAATGTACAGGAAGAGCAGAGAGCCGTGGTGCCGCGGGTCGACTTGTTTCAAGGCTCAGTGAGTTAAAAATAAACCCCCTACTAGTCCCTCAATTAATCATATCCCAGTTAAAAATTGTGCTATTGTAAAGGGATTTATTTTTTTTGTCCATCTGCTTCAAAAATGAGTTAAGCTGTAACCTTAGTCACAAAAGGGAGCTTGTTAGAGGAGGAAATGGAGGTTAATCGACAGTGTTAACGTTTCATCTGTGTTTGAACAACAGCCATAGTCATATTGGTCAGCCTGGCAGCTATATTTGCAACCGAACCCCTTTGTCACCGTTGCTGTCAGTCTGACATGTTTAAAAAAATCCACAGTCAGATTAAAAGGGACACGAAAGCATTCAGCTGTCATGAAGAAAGTGGCAGAAAAAAATGTCTTGTGATTATTAGAAATTTCTTTGTGTTGCCTTGAAGATACGGTTTACTTACCTTATGTCATTGCTCAAAGACAGCAGGTGTCTTCTGAGATAGCGGCTAACAAACACTGCATGGAGGATGTCACAGGGTGCCTCTGTCCACTGAAACAAATTGATGGGGTAGAAAGATTCGCCTTCAGGTAAAACAGACTGCATTGTTCCATGTCAGCGTGCAATACATCACCTCCTCTCTTTGGTTACTGGGGCTGACTCTCACACATTGTTTGGGGTCCTGCCTGTCTGTCTGGACAAAGCACATGACTGCACCCGTGGGTTCTGTGGATGGATATGTAAGACGCTTTTGTGCTTTGTTTGGAGTGTCAGCCTTAATGAGTTTTATGCATCTTAATTTTAGCCCCAGTCTTGTGATAAGGACTTCACAATTAGAGGCTTTTAGTCGAATGGACAGCCATCTGGAGTGGCAGTGTGATTGTTTGCTATTGGTGAGCCATGATTAGTGTTAATATTGTTGACTGCTGTTCATTTTAGCCAAAGATTGCACTTGTGTAACGCAGTTGAAGAAGTCAAACAATAGACTAATGTAGAAATATTGCAATTTTGCGAATGTTGGCAGCTTTAAATTGCTCATCATGCTCAATTTGATGTAGGTTTGAGAGGTTGGGAGGCTTACTGAAGGGCAGCAGAAGTTTTGTTTAGCTGAGAGAAATTGAGCTTCTGCTTCCAAACAGTTGGATGGATATAAATGAGATATACCGACTTGATAGATAAATCTATCGAGGCTGATTTGATAGATTTATCTGAAAGGTCAACACATTTACTGGCAGCTGAGGTTATGGTTGATGTTTCAATGATTTTTAATAAGAATGACATGTGACCTACACTGCTCTGCAAAAGTAAAGAGCCACCCCTCATTTCTGTATATAAAATGGGAAAACGCTACAAATATACATGGCAATACAGTATATAAGACAAGAGTTTGTGCACTTCTAATGAGGTTAAAAAGCCAATATTTGGTACGACCCAATTACTCTTCAACACTGCCGCAACTCTCTTAGGCAAGCTTCACTGTTATTTCTTTAAGCAGTCTTCAGGAAAAGTTCTTAAAGAACATTCAAAGCTCTTCATTGGATGTTGGCTGCTTTTGTTCTGTTCTCTATCAAGATGATCCCACTTGCTTCAATAAAGTCTGGGCTCTGGGGAGGCCGATCCATGACTGATAGTCTTTAACTGTGTTTTTCTATCCAGGTATGCTTTAAATGCATTGACCTCGTACTGGGAACCATTTTTATGCTGGAAAATGAAGTTGTTGCCAATAACATGCTTTCCAGATGGTATTGCATAATGGATCAAGTCGAATCACACGTTTTTGCCTTCATAATTCCATCAATTTTGACAAGATGCTCAATAGCACTGAATGTAAAGCATCCCCAAACCTCACCAGAGCCTCCGTTGTGTTTTACAGATGACCGTAGACACTGTTGTACCTCTCTCCTGACCCCGTGTACATATTTAAACCAAAATTTCACATTTGTTTTCATCACTCCTGAAAAGGAGTGTTGAAAATGATGATTTTCAGTACAATTCTTGTGTAATTTGGCATACCTGTAAAAGCCTGGAGAGATCCATTCATCCATCCATCCTCTTCTGCTTATCCTCACCAGGGTCACGGTCACCTATCCCAGCTACCACAGGGCAAGAGGGCCTGGAGAGCTATTTAGAAAATAAATAAATAAAAGAGAGTCTAGCTCCTTGGGAGCAAAATATGGAGAAATAAGCCTCTTCAAGCCTTTTGCACATTACTGTAGCTTTACAGTGCTGTGCACTAGATGTGCAAAGATAGTGTGGTGAAGAAATGAAAGCCTTTTAAAAGAAGATGTATTTGTTTCCTTGCCATAAAAGAGGAAATAAATAACAGCAAAAACAAATTTTTTTACTCTGACTCAGAATTTTGGTTCATCTCTATTATATCTTTAATAAAATGGAGCTTTTGTTTGCAGACATTTAAATGGATATAATGCATATTAATTGTACAGATTTATCCAAACCTCATTACCTTTACTGGCCACTAAAGGTTATGGTTGATGTATGACTGACTTTTAATAACAATAACTGGCGACCTACCTCTACAGTGCTCTTCAATCCGGTTTTAAATGGCACAGTCCTTAATCAGTGGAGAGAGGTCAGACTTCTGTCAAATCAGCAGCCATGATTAGCAACGGATTCCAAGCTACTCATTGGACAACAACCCCTGCACAAGAAAACGCAACATAGAATATGAAAACATAGAACTAAGTGATGTAGTGACAGCGCTGCTGTTTTTTTGTGGAACTTAATAGGGATATTTGTTGTCAGTGCAGATGTTCACTAATCCTTTTTATATTTGAAGGAGACTTCATTTGTCTGTCATGCTGACAAGGTGATGCATACAATGCTATTTGTCTTTGCCATCTCAGTTCTCCTGCCTACATTTCATGCTTGACTTATATGGAGGGCACTGGAGTGATGGTTATCAAGGTTGCAAGGACACATGAAGAGGAAACGCTTACCAAAGAGCTTTAATGCAGCCTTGAGAATAAAATAGCAGCATGGTGGTAAAAGACGTATTTTAGTCAACGCAAACTTTCAGACAGGAAGAAAATGGATGTTTCATAGTTATTTTATAACATTTTGTGGTTTTGTTTGATTTAGAGTTCTGTGCAAAAGTCTTGAGCTACCCCTCATTTCTTTATATTTAGCTTCCAGGTTGCCAGACTTTCTTGTCATAAAAGTGGTTTTGAGAACATTTCCTGTGCTGTTCATCTACGTCCAGATGAACAGAATCATCTTTTTGGGAGTTCTTTACCTGGATGATTGAGCATGCATCAAGACATCTCGAGAAATAGTTCTCCAGATTTTTTTGTTTTGTTTTTAAGAGTTTTTCTTTTACACATTGGCTGCCTTTTTACCCAGTTCTTGTACTTGACCATTTTCAGAGAAAGGTTTTTATTTCTCTTTGATAAGCCACTTAAAACTGAACTATGATTCATTCAAGCATAAAAAGGGCACCTAAATCATAACAATGGACCAATAATATGTCTGCACATAACACACAAGTTAGCAAAGAACCAATTTTAAATAGTACTTTTAGAGACTTGGGTACTAGCAGTCTGTCGCAAAATCACAGAAATTGTTCTCATTTCTTAAGCTGCGAAAATGCCAAAGATAACACAGCCTTGACAGATATAAAGTTGTATTTTTCCCCCAACAAGGTGATTCGCAAAGAGGGGAAAACTTGCATATATTAGCACTGTGTGCAGTGCATTCTCAAAAAAGTGGTTTAGACCTACTTTTCAGTCAGTGGTGGTCAAAACTGATGTAATT